TATATATATAATATTAATATATATAGATACATATATATATATATATATATACTATAATATATATTATATACACATATAGTATATAATACATAATATATATAATATAATATAATTATATATTATATATTATTATCTATATATAATATAATTATATATTATATATATATATTATATGTGTGTGTGTGTGTGTGGTGTGTGTGTGTGTGTGTGGTGTGTGTGTGAGTGTGTGTGTGTGGTGTTTGTATATATGTATATGTTATATGTATATATGTATAAATGTAATATGTTATGTATATATATATAATATATTATATATATATATATATATATATATATATATATATATATATATATATATATATATATATATATGTATATACATCATACATACATACATACATGCATACATACATACATACTACATATACATAATATATATATATATATATATATATATATATATTATATATATATATATATATAATTTATATATATATATATATATATACATATCTATTTATCTATTATCTATATCTATATATCTATCTATCTATCTATCTATCTATCTATCTATATATTAATGGTAATTTTCTATATACCTTTCGCCTATCCGATAGCGACGATTTTGGTATCGTTGGATTCCTCTCACTGTCCACATTGCAAATATATAGTTTTTATTGCGCGGAAACCCCCCGTTAGCGACAAACTTGGCCCCGATTGCAAGGGAGGGCATGAAAGTTTCCAGGGAAAATGCGGGGTTAAATAACACTAATAATATAACCCACAGTAAAATTAACCATGGTTATTCACATGACTTTCCATTGCACTGCGACCCCCCCTTGGGGGCTTCCGTCCCCCAACCCCCGCCGAGGAAACAAAACCTCCACCACACATTCACGGCAGGCGAGAGCGTTTCACAATTCTCGTCGATCTCGGAGCGGCGGACGTATTACATTTACCTCGTAACATTCCCACTGAATCAGCATACTAACCTTGACATAGTCATCATTGTATACAGAGACGATTGTAGTATAATCACGATGAACGGGGTATACCATGAACAGAAGAGCGCCCTCGTCCATGGACATTTTCACTGTGGGTTATATTATTGGGGTAATTTTCTATCTTACGTCCGCCGCTCCGGCCGCCGCTCCGACATCGTCGCCCCCGATATAGGGCCCAAGTTTGCCGCTAACAAGGGGTTTCCGCGCAATAAAACCTACATATTTGGATTGTACAGAGTGAGAGGAATCCAACGATACCAAAATCGTCAAAATTACTATATTACGTCCGCTGCTCCGAGATCGTCACCCCCGATATAGGGCCTAAGTTTGCCGCTAACGGGGGGTTTCCGCGCAATAAAAACTACATATTTGGATTGTGAGAGGAGTGAGAGGAATCCAACGATACCAAAATCGTCGATATCGGAGAGGCGAAGGTAATATAGATAATGACCATATATATATATATATATATAATATATATATATATATATATTATATATATATATATATATATATAAATGAATACATACATATACACACATATGCGCGCATGCGTGTATGTACGCACACAGTCTTGCATATCCATGCACGTGTGCATCTCAGTGCCCCTCCGAGCGGCGAGAAAGGGGCCGCAGCGGCGAGGCGCTGCCATAAACCTCGCCGAGTGGACCACAGGGAAGCGAAGCTGTCGGAGAGGAAATTAGAAATTTAACCGGAGAAAAACAAGCTTTTGCGCGAAACGGAGACGCCGTCGAAAGGTTCTGCTCGTTATTGCCTTTGGGTATTTCCAATCAATTAGGGAGGAAACCGCAGAAGCTCTTTGTCCGGGCGGCGAGGCGGGAGGGGAGCGTCGCCGAGGATCTGCAGGGAAGGAAAAACGAGGTGCGCGGAATCACACGAAGACAGGAACACGATAAAGTCATTACGAGTCGTTTCTCACATTTTGAGAAATAAAGCGTAATTGGTTGAGTGCGGACTCGGAAATGAAAGTAATACTCAAAAGGACTTGATATTTCATGAATCTCGTTTTCGAAATCAGAGGAAATGATCGATAGAAAAGGTTATAATCCTTCGAGAGAGGAATCTCTCGCCTTGTTATCTCTTGAGAAGCGTCAGCAATGAATAACGAGGAAGCGATCAGTTCTGCCTCATAAGGCGGGATAAATCTTGGAAAACATGTAATAATTCCCACCAAAGGACGAGGTTAGAAAATAAAATCATCATCGGAGGAAAGAGGGCGCGTTGGAGTCCTCCTGGAAAGGGCTTTCGCGGGGCCCTCCT